CACTTACCTAGCACTTAAATTTCTTAGAGTGAAAGTGCTCTCTTATTAACTACCAAACCATTTATTATTACTTAGCCAAGGTTCTGACTGAGATACCAACACTTGACCACAGGAGGAAATGTTGATATCCTATATTTTTACTGAGGCTGGAGGCCTAAATCATGACCCGGAAAGAATGGTTTTTCTTCAGCTTCCATCACGTGCCCTATTCCTTCATCTTACCTACCCTGCCACCCTTGAAACTCATCTTATTCCCTTTGTCTTTAAGAATAATTACTGCATTTCTGCATAGGCTTTGGAGCATGCTGGTTAGCAGGAAGGGTTTTCGTGCAGATACATCTGGGTCCACATCTACATTAACTTTATTTTAAAACTTAGGTCAGTAACCATACATTCAGAAAGGGTTGTATTGATTACAATCCTTACAGATATAATTAACTCTTACCCTTAATTCTTACAGTAAGAATTCTGTATGTCTTAGCATAATGACACAGAAAGCATTTAACATATATTGCTTGACAAGATACTGAAGGTGCAATAAATATTTGCTATTATTCTTAGTGGTATTCCCAGATTTAGTATATTTTTAAAAATTCCTTTGTATGTTCCAGGCCAAGGAGATAATTCCTTTGTTATGCGATTTTTGAATACCAAAGTAGTGATTAAACATACGTGGTGTCTTCCTTTGAAGACATATAAAAGTCCTAGGTAAAGAGAGATTACCAGAGCTTCTAGTTTTCTGCCTACCTGGGTTTTTTAAGACTTTCCACAGTAGTCATTTGACATTTAATCACAGCGGGAGACAGAATGTTTGATTACTGTTCTTGTCTAGTAGGTTGTTTCTTGCCTGTATTCCTACTCCCCTAGCGCAGCTGAGACACATTATTGAGAAAAGTCCACCAAGTCCTGAATTCTTCACTGCCCTACCTCTTGCCACACACATAGTTGTAGTGAATGAAAATATTACCTTTTACCCTTTTTTTCCAGGAAGTATTAGATTGTATAATTTCAGCTTTGTGCTGAATAGTCTCAGGAGCAATAGAAAACATAAATTTATACATATTAGCTAAAGGAAATAAGAGTGAAAGTGATGTAAATATCTAATCACTTCTCACTTTGCCTCACAGCTTTCCTTCTTTGGAAGGATTAATTTCCAGCTTGGAAAAGTTATTTTTAAATGGCTTTTTCTCCCATCACAGCCTGCAGTGTACATCAGAATAAAGAACCGAGCCCAAGATGAATATCTGACAGTCACTGGAAATTTAGCTGACACAAGGGCGATGTCTGTGTGCATCTCTCCCTACAGTGGAAAGAATACTCAGATCTGGTATTACTGTCGAGGACTTTTTAAATCCAAGGTAAACATCCCCACTGATATAGTACCCTACTTTTTGGTGTTTGGCTTTGGAAACTGGAATCTAGTTAAATTAACTGGCATAAATGAAACTGCAGCTTCCTAGAGACAGTTCACTGTGTGATCATAAAAACACTTTTATAAGTAAAATCAACTAAGAATTTTTGATCTAGAAATTTTAGGTTTTGAGAAAAACCATGGTTATCACATGCTATAGATATGCCTAAATTATTTTTTTAAACCAGTGATGTAAGTCACTGGATCAAAAATGGACAACGTGCTTTTGTGAAATAAAAATCAGCTATGTGAATCTAAACATGTTAAAACTCCTTTGTTTTCAAAATACATAATGAAGTGGTAGTAGAAGCAGCTGTTATTAGAGGATGTTAAGGAAATGAAAACTAATTTCATTTATTTTGTGACCCTTCATTATTGATACTGTGGAGTGTAGAACATTAGGTTAAAAAAAAATAAAAACATGTTTCATTGCATCACTAATGACTTATATACATCTCATGCTTCAAAAATGAAAAGCATCTAAAAACAATTATTGTCTGGATTATCTTCAGCACATCCAGTATTTTTAGAATAAAAACAAGATCAACATAATACATTTTAAGCTAACAGTAACTTAACATTTAATTCCAAGTCAATAAAACTTTACTGAACACTGTTGTCAAATGTGCATGCCCTCTTAAAAATAAGTACAGGACCTCTGTTTCAGTTTCTGTACCAACTCCTCCCTTCAGCCATAAAGATTTAAGATGTTTACTCAAATTATACTATAGGCTATTCTTTTAAAACATGGTACTTAGATGTCTATGACTTCTTCATCTGAAAGAAAAGGGGCCCTAATTAAATTGATGTTAGCAAATATAATGTGGTACTGCCATTCTATTTCTTCATGCTTCTAGGCCAGTGATACATGTCTTGATGTGATTGGTGGCCGGGACACACCTGGAGCTAAGGTAGCCCTATGGACTGAACATGGACAGTTCAGGCAAAAATGGAGACTGAATAAAAATGGCACCATCAGTTCTTATCTCAGTGAGCAACTTGTCCTTGATGTTAAAGGTGGGCCTTTGATAATATGCAAATGTTTGTATCCCTGGATATCAGCTTAAATTCTAAACCTCTTTCTTCTGAGTAAAGGACATTCTGATATATGAGGGAAATGATCCTTTATGCTTTTATGCTTGAAAAAATTATTTTTACAAACCAATACACTATATGCATCAAGCAGGAAAAGCTCAACAACAAAGTCTTTAAAAAGGTTTTTGTTCATTAGTAAAGTTGTAAAATTTTCATTTGCAACTGTAATGTTTGTAAACCCTGGGAACAATTCTCAACTGAAGCATCATAAACCATAATGTCATCTGTTTCTTGAAAAGGAATATCTCTATCTTCTTCTCCTGAGTCATCAAGGTCCTTCAGTCTTCAGTTAAAATTTAGGTAGATGTCAGTTAACCTTGTTTTTTAATTCAGCAAGGTCATGGCCATATTACTCATGGCTTTTGCTTTAATTGGCTTTAGTCACACGGCCTCTGCTGATGTAGAAACAAAAACACAGTACCTGACATCCAGCCAGAGTTCTCTCAAAGTAGTTTGTTCTGAAGCATGGCATTGTTAGGGCACACTGCTTCTACAATCACGTATTATACCTCTTAATTTTTCAATGTGAGTCATAATAAGGTCCAATTTGAGGTGAATAATGGCTATGCCTGTTCAAACTCTATTTTTTACTTCAGACCACTATGTAAATGACATATTCATCTACTTAAGCAGTGGGCTGAACAAAAGCTTGTGAAAATGGTGAAATTGCTTAGCACCGGTGTGAACAAATAATCTTTTCTTTTGGAATTTCTATTTCAGGAGGAAACTACTGTGACAAGACTCATGTCATTGTAAATCAGCCCCTGGAGGGAAAAGAAACACAGAAATGGGACATTGAAATACTGTGAGAATCAACACCATCCCTAGAAGGAGCAAAGGAACCTCACCTCCCTCACTGATGTATGCATGTGGAAAGGAAGCTACTGTGCCCTCTACTGAATCGCTGCACAGAATCAACTTTTCCTTCAGGAGCTAAGGCTGCTGCTCTTGCACCATATTCTTGCCAGTTATTCAGTGTATCTATGAAGAAAATGGTATGATTTCTGGGAAAGGTTTTATTCCTGATGGATTCCAGTTATGGTGAGCAAGTTTCCGAAAGTCTGTGTTTTCTTTCCTATCTACCAAACATGAATGCTATTCCTGATGGCCCACTATAGGATGTTGGTGATGCTGTCACCTGTATTAGCTATTAATATCCCACCAGACACCTGTATGACTGCAAAGCACAGGAAAATAAACTATATCATACTTTTGTAAAAAAAAATAATTTTAGAAACATCTGAAAATGTATTTAAAAAGACTTCCTCTTAAGCTGCTGCTGTGTGTAAATAAGTCTTCAAATTTCTATATTGAAGCTTTTATAATAGAAGTATCCCATGAGTATTTAAATACTTTTAACTGACTCCATGGAGGGACCTCAGCTTTATTAGGCAAAAGGCACCAGGACTGGAATATTTTCTGTGGCCATTCTTTGCTCAGTCTCTCAAACTGAAAATGCATGTTACCTTGGAGTGCCAACCTCACATTTTAGCATTGGGTCACCTGTCCTGGTGCTGAGACCTTGCCCTAGATTTTGCTTGATTTGCCGTTAAGGAGAAATGTTCATAAAAAGTATGTCACTCCTTTATAAGAGTCAAATTTTTGTCTGCCTGAAATAAAACTCTGTCCAAATTTACTTTTCAAGTAAAGGTGCAGTTGATTTCTCTACTAGTTTTCACTCCCATTTTAAATAGCTTATATTAAAGCAAAATCAGGAAATAATTTTTTACTTAGTTTCCAATAATCATTACCACCTTTAACAGCACAATTCAAAAGCATTTTCCTTCCTGAGTTGGATTTAAATGTACCTTGAGACAACTGTTTCTTTCATTCCCAACTTTTGCCAGAATGCAGAAAAATACTCTATTTTTATATAGAAAGATTAAATTCTCTAATGATATTTTTAAAAATATCAACCTATATGCACTTTAGAATGTAAAAATAACAATATTTTAAACTCAAGACCCATTATTTTGAGTATTTTTTATAGACTTGGTGTTTCCATGTAAATATTTTTTCCCCCTGAAATCTCAGGCTCTTGTCATCTTTTAAGCAGAATCTAAAAACTTTCTCAAGTCCATAGATGTTGAGTGCCTCCCATGGGTGTGGCTGTATTATTTAATGAGACTAATGTTATAGGGATAACTTTATTTTAACAGGGAAGCTTGTGTATACACCAAGGTATGTATATTTTCATTGTAAAAAAAAAAAATTTCATGTTAATATTTTTAAAATTGTTCTAGAGCCAAGAAGGCGCATTAAAGAAGTTATTTCCAAAGAACAAAGATTAATGACATTTTAGTTCTACATCATACATTTTTGGAGTTGTGCCTTTTCTACCACACTGGATTAAAGAAATTTGTCAAAAATATGGTTTTGTCACATTCTGGGACACCTTGTAATTTCCCGTTGTGTTTTTTTTTCCCCTTCCATGTTCCCATATATTGATAAGTAAGGACGGTTGACAATTTTCTCCTACCCAACTTCCCATTAAAAAAAATTTAAAAAACGAGCAAGTAAAATAGCAGTTATTTGATTCTATAACATCACTAGATTACTTGGATCAAACATTCTGTCCAGAGGGATAATACCAGGCTTTCCTTTTCCTCATCTGTAGTAAGCTTCAGGTCCTTGACAGAAATTGCTGAACTATTCCAAATTTGCTTCAGTGCATCCACATGTGAAAAAGGGAAACGAAGTCCATGAGACTGAAAAAGGATAAGTTTAATTTTTAAAAACTTAGTTTGCTGAAGTGGCATTTTCACATAAACCTTACATTGTTGTTTTTGATACCCTTCAGAAACTTCAGATAAGCTCTTTTCATCAACTATAAAATTAGAGAAGTCACAAAACTTGCTGATGCCCATTTAAATCAGATGAAAATCATTCTAATTTAAGTAGTGGTATTATTAGTCATTTGAAATGCCTTACATTTACATTTATTTTACTTTTCCTATAAAGCTACAGGTTCCAGCTAGTATCTTTTTAAAACTGGTCTGTATCACAGTGATATCAAGAGGTAAGTCCATAATGCAGCCATAAAAGGCATATTACATATATATAAAAAAATAATTGATAATTCCCAGCCACCACCCAAATCTCAGCAACATCTGTTTCCATTAGAACAAACCTCTATTTCCTCCTCATTTCCCATCATGTGTATTTCTCTCCTATTCTTTAGAGAATGATAGATGTAAACCATCTTTTCTTGAGCTTCATCCTTTAAAGAAAAGAATGTTAAGTCATCAACAAATATTGAGGGCTTCAGTACTAAGAGGGTTTTCCAGTAAGTGAACACTAAGAAAAATCTTAAAGTCATGTTGCTCAAATGAAATTATATCTAATCTTTAAGGAATCCTTTGGGCAAAAAGTTATATGTATGGACATATACACATTGTATAATTCATCAATGGGAACTTAAAAGTCATTATTTTAAAAGATGGTATCTTCAGGAACTTGATTTATATTAATCATATCTGCACACTTTGTAGCCAATAAATAAAAAAAAAAAACAGCTGTGTAATTTATAGAAGAATGACACTTGAATTGTGATAGCATCCCAAATGACCCCTACTTCTTTCTAGAACCTTTTGTCATTCTTTGTTACACATTGTCTCAAACTAATTGGTTGTCAAAATAACTAGAATTTTTTTAATAGTGTACTTTTGAGGTTTTATATATGTCAACCCTTCCAGGTCTGGCCCTGATGGCTGGTACAACATAGAAGACGTGTGAATTCCTCCTCAATCATTCATGGGGCACCTTCCAAATGAGCTGATGAGGAAGAAACAGGGTATGGAACAGTCCTCAAGGTCCTTAGTATAGGGAGCTTTAAAAAACCATAAATGCAGAGGTTCTAACCCAGACCACAGGAGACTTGGAATTTGATTCTTTTTTTAGTTGTCAATGGACCTTATTTATTTATATGCAATTCTGAGAACTGAACCCAATGCCTCACACATACTAGGCAAGTGCTCTGCCACTGAGCCACAACCCCAGCCCCAGGAATTTAATTTTTTAAAAGCTTTCTTGCTGATTCCACAGTCAGCTAGTTTTGAGAATCATGGGCTAGATAGATAGCAGGGTTACAGAGTGTAGACTATTATTTTTGATCTATGGGATTAGAAGTTGAGAAGAAATATCAGCAAAACCACACAGAAATTGATGCAAATGATCAGAGAGGGACTGAAGAAGGGATTCTCAAAAACATGGCCTGCAGTAGGATGGGAAGCCAAGAGCAGACATATTTACATAACTAGAAATGAAGGAGGAGACTCTGAGGGGATGAGGGGAAGCCCTCAAGTATCCAACACAAAGGAAAATTTGGAACAGTAAGATTTTGGCATTATCTGACCAGAGTGATGGTAAACTGAACACAAATGGATTCCTGAAGGAGAAGGGCAAGGACCAATACTCCTTTTTGAATAATAAACTGAGGCCTATAGTGGAAAGACCCTGGGAAGAGAGGAAATCCCTCTTGGAATACTCACAGATCGATCCTGATCTGGCCCTACTGTGAGGATGATGTGGTCCTTAAACTGCAGACTCACTGTGCTGTCCAACCTTGGTAATTTTCCACCTAGAAAACACCAAAGAAAAATCCAACCCTTCAAAAAAGGAAACCAGCCATTCAAACTTGCTTGCAGTACAAATGGTTAGGAAACTAATAGTCTGCAGGTGAATCCAAATATGAGTTTGCATCCTTATGCTTATGGAGCTATCTTTATTGTTAAGACAGATACACAATTAGATAAAAGTTCATGAGTACATCCAACAGGTAAAAATAATGCCATCAAAACGTGGTAGCTACTGCAGTAGACTGGGACATATTGCCATCTGGCCTGAGCACTTATTTCTCCAGTATCTATCCTCCAACAGCTTTTCCGAAACAAGGGACTATCTGAGTTCAAACTGTACCACTCCATCAATTCTTAACTATTCTTAACTGTGTGGCCCTGGAAGTATATGTAGGTCAAGTATAGTGTCGGATAAAAGCTACCTGATAAAGTTCACAAAAAAAAAAAAAAAAATAGTCACTCTTTTCTAAAGTGAACTTAACTTAGTAAAAACGCAGTCACTATTACTGGCAGGCCTTACAAGGTCCTCTGGCTGGGGAGACTCTTAGGGAGGTATAACTTTATTGACTAGAAGAGCTAAGACAAGGAAACCATTAGGGAAAACATTCTGGGTCATAAGATGGAACTTAGATGGAACTTGCAAATTCTATTCTGTTAAAGATTAAAACACTGCTGGTAAAATACTTGATTTGAGTGGATGCAATAAAAATCTCAACTCCCTTCAAAGTACTGTTTATTTCAGTGGTTCTAACCTGGTGATTAGTAAAATACACCCCTCACTCAACTCTGAAAAAGAGAAGCAGCCAGTGAGCTGGCCTGGCAGCTGGTAGGGCCTTTTATGAAGCAACAGTGTCAGATAGGACCACCCTAACCATGACAGGTCAAGATAAAAACATTCTAGACCCATATCTGAACTCAGACAAAAACAAGAACACTGTCCAAACCGCCAGTGACCACACTCCCACCTGGCTAAGGAATGACTGCTGCTGCTGACCCATCGTAACATTGCCTTATGTGTTCCACCTACCCATTGGATAAGAAGGATTCTGACCGGGTCTCTTCTAAATCCTTCATCCTGACAGCATCAATCCAGAGCAATGCTCTACTTCCTCGAACCTTCTCCAAAATCACTTAGTTCAGGCCCACATCCCTAAGTCCTTTCTCATGCCCTTCCAATGGTGTGCAGTCTTCTCCATTGCAACAAATCAATAAATACAACTTTGGGTTCAAGAGGTTGTTCTCTGTAGCCTCTCCTAAAAGACACTGACATCCTCTATCCAGAGGCATTATGTCAGTTGCAGCCTAAACCTGTCATAAATTAGTCACCTAATTTATGTGGTGACTTCAGTTTTCTTGCATTTCATCTGACAATGATAACATTTTACCCACCTTTGCCTTAATTCCAACAAGATTATTTCAGTGTTTAAGTTCTTAAAATTTCTTGAAGATTTTGACTAGCAGAGTACACATAAGTATTTATATCTATATTCCTAACCCAAAGACAGGGCTCTTGTTTTCCAGCATGCTATAAGTTCTTTGCAAATGACTTGTGAGGTACAGGATGCTAATGAGTGCAGTCCATCTAGTTTAACTCTATGTGCTAAGAATGGATTTATGCCCACATTAATATTAAATTGCTTCTTAATTTCCATCTGCTCAAAGAGGGGCCTACCCAGGAAAGCCTCAAATGTACCCCCCGCCCCAGCCCCAACCACCTAGAAGAAAACAGAAAGCTTCACCTGGTGTCGACAGCTCTGTTCCATCTCCCGTGTAGTAAGGGGGGAGTCTGTGCATAACAAAATCTTTCTTCATGTCTGATGAAAGCAGTTCTTTGGTGCTTTCCAGCCGGTCTGCAAGAGTCCTCAAAAAGCCACTTAATCTTGTTGCAACTGTTGTGGTTTCCACCTGCTAAAAACACAGAAGTGAGCCTTGGTGGGGACTCAAGCAGAATTTACTGCAGAGGTCCCAGTCTCCACAGTAGTATGCTGAGCCTAACACCAACCACACACTACAGACAAAATTCTGTGTCATTTCAAGAGAGGACAGGAATAACCAGAGCTCTTAAGAACCTTATCCTATTACTTCTTCATAACCTATTCATGTTATGCTGCCTATTGTTAATAAAAAAAGAACAATTTTCAGGATTTTTCCTAGAAAGGGATCCTTAGACATACAGTGCAGTCTGGCTCTGCCTTTGGAAAGCAAGTCACTATTCTAAGGTCCTGCTTCACTTTTGCTCCACCCAGCCCTCATTTAATGATCTTCTCAAAACTAACCAAACAGTACTCATATTTCAAAATGCAAAAATATGCAGGAGCACCAGCGAATACACAAAGGCCTGGGTCTCCAATGGGTTTCTTCTCTAAGTCATCATTGGAACAAACCTCTATTTCCTCCTCATTTCCCATCATGTGTATTTCTCCTGGCCAATTTATTCAACAAGCACTCCACAATGCCTGCTACTATCACTGTGAAATAAAGTAAGAGAGCTGTTTATGCAACACCCACGATCTCTGGATGGCATCCATTCATTTTGCAAATCATATAGCTCAGCAGGCAACACAGCAGAAGAACTTGGCTCAGCTGAGTAAAGAATCCTAGATCCCCAGAAGGTAGGGCTTCAACTGGCCTGGGCTGAGGCTGCCACTTTCATCTCCACATGCCTTTCTTTACTCTTACCATGAGCAGCTGCCGGGGTATTCCAGTCCGTAATGTTATATCTTCCTTTGCAGTATCAAACACAAGCCCTGAAATGGTGTCCAAAAGGAAATCTCCCCATGAACTAGAACATATACCATGAAAAAGAAAGAATAAAAACCAGTGAATACACACAAATATATGCAAAATGCCTATTACTAATAAAACCAAAAACTACAAGTGGGGTTTCAACCTCCCAGCCCAAGCTTTCTGAATTCAATTAATTTGATGTTACTCAACATGAAAACCTAAGATCTTCATTGATCACACTGCTTCTTTCTCTGCAGGCACTCACTTGGAAAATTAAAAGTGGAAAGTTAAGTTTCATTCACGATTTTTCTTAAAGATATCAGAAAAATAATCAGATACTGTCATAAAATAGGAAGTCCAAGGGACCAAAGCTTTAACACAAGTATCTCTGAGGAGCTTTGTAGGAAATTTAACACTCAGGCGATCTAGAAAAAGTATCTTTTATGCAATAAATCCAAGAGGAATACATTTAGGGAAACAGCAAGATCTCCAGACTATGTAATTACCTGAACAGTGAAATGTTACATTTTCCACTGCACTTTAAAAGAGGGAAGCTGCTCTTTAGTAAAATATCCACCAACAACTATTTCAAAAGAATTGATTTCTAGCAATGGTTTTACTGGGGTAGAGGGAGAAGCCAGTGGCCAAAAATAACATCTAAGGATAAGCTCAGTGTTCAATTACTTTTGCTTTCTCTGGGGTAGTAAAATTGGCTCATTCTTAACCAAGTGCCACTGTAAGAAACACTCTCTGTGGGGTTGCCCTCTTTAAACATTTCTTAGCTTGTTTAAAATTTTCCTGTGTTACCAGCAGATATCAAATTGCTGGCTATGTGCAAAATGGAAATTCACAGTATGACTTTTGCTTCTCACTCAGTAAGGAAAATTAACACTTTTATGTTCCCTTTCTGATGAAGTGGCAAATTAGGACAAAATCCACTTGAGATGTACTTTCCCCAAGGTATCCACTACCTGGTGGCCTCTCTGCTTTGTGACTTAATGCCACATCTTTTAATTGAGCTTCAACTGTAGGACACATGCAGCAGCATAAAATACCTACTTCCTTTGCACCGTTAATAGGTGAAACTCATATGGCAACAACTGAGAGGAGTTCAACAGCAGTTAAAAAACAGTGCTCTGTTCTCTAAACAGAGTTAGGACAGACCTCGGGACTTTCCAAAATTCAGGAATAATACCTCTTAAGGGGTTCACTTTGATAAAACAGCCAATTCAACCTGCTGTTGCCCCACAGAGCAGGCCCCAAATGTTCCAATAATGTTGCCATGAGAAGGTGTTGGGGAGAAGCCCCAAATCTTCACCTTCCTGCAGGAGCTGACAGAGCCCAGGCTCAGAGCAGAAGACCTCCAAGGAGCAACGGTCCTCAAATTACACAAGACACAAGTCAGAGTCTAGTCTAGACACATCATTTATGGTGCCCACCCACAGACATGGGCAGCAACCTCTGTAACTTATAAAGTTCCTCCCACTTACAGGTGACTGGATAAGGATGAGATGGGATCCAGGGGCAGCCTACCAGAGCTTCAATCTCGGGATCGGGAAGCAGAGTGAGAGTCAAATATTTAACAGCAGAAACAAATAGGTTCAGTGATACAGAGGGAGGTCACAAGTAACTGATGACAGCATGGGATAAGCCAATATGATGAGTACACAAAGCTGAAGAAAGAAAAGGAGGGAGCAAAAAGCAATGACCAGAAAACCAGATGGTGACAATAACAGAAATGAAACAGAAGCAGAGAAAATTCAGGAGCAAGGGGGTAGCAGAGCAACATTAATGAGGGGATACCAGAAGATGCACATGGGGCAAAACAACTTGGCTGGCAAAGTCCAGAGCTACTCTAGACCCAGAATGAACTTCTGTTTCCAGATTCTGTGGCAGGGCCCTTCTACAGGTCTTATGACTTACTCCCTCAGTTGTTCTGCTCTTGAGCTAGACTCAGATTTTCTATTCCTCACACTTTAAGAAACCCAAATAGCCACAGTGACAAAGACATTTTTTTTTTTTTTTTTTTCAGAATTAAAGCCTAATAAAGCTTGGGCCTTCTACTTGTGGGCAAAGACAGAACTGACCTCAGGCCCAATTTTAGCCAGTTCCTTCAGTAAGGCTCTTAAGCATAGGGGTAAATCTCATACTGAAAAATCAGGTAAGGAAGAAGAGGCATGCTTACTCATTTTGTAAATCATGGCTTCGGAAGTAGGAAAGGGTCATACTATCCCCTGGACCTAGAATGTTCTCTCCTACCCCAACCTTCTGACTCACCCCCACTTATGCACACTTTAGGACTCACTCAGGGATAATGTCAATTCATTTCTGAAACTTTCCCTGGCACTCAACTAAGTGAATTCCTCTATGTTCTACGGGTATCTGTGCAAACCTCAGATAGAATTTATCACACTGTTTGGCAACTATTTACATATCCATCCCTTGATCCTGCCACCACTTCCAAAGTGTCAGTTTTCTCAAAGTCCATCAAAATGTAACCTTTGCATTCCTGACAACTAGCAGGAATAGTGCATGCCTACTGAAAAAATGAACTAATTCCTGTCATGATTTTAAGTGGATCTATTTTTATCTCATGTGCTTTTAGTTCCCCCCTGTTCCAGGCTCCCTTTCCTACTTAAATTTCATGGACTGTAAAAACTGGAACTCTTAAGAGATTAAGAGGTTTCAAAGGTTCCAGAATTTTGTTGGGGACTTTGGAAGTGTTTTGAAAACAGTGGTAATGGCTGTTCGAATCTAATGCCAACAGACTCTACATTTAAACATAATTCAAAATGACATATTTTATGCTACATATATATTTTGCCACAATAATTTTTAAAAATAAAAAGAGGTAGGGATAGACAGGGAGAAGGAGAGAGACACAGAGATTACAAGCCCAGCCTGGCATCACTAACACACTGACACACCCATAGCTACAGTTTTTTTTTTTTTTTTTTTTTTTCTTTTCAAACTATGAAACCCTTTATTCAGGCAATTTCCCAGTATTCTATATAGAGTGAGATCCATGGTGCTCCCAGGAGCAAGTCCAATGGGCCAATCATACACATGAGACATCAAAGAAATAGGGAAGTCAGCAAGGAGACAGAAACAAGAGAAGGTGGCCAACTCTCTCAGGTCCCTGCTGAATGTGGCTGCTTGGGCCATAACTCAGAGCTGTCCTGGGATGCTAGGTTGAGGGCAGAGCATTTACTTGTTCTGGTAGGTGCTGATGGTCACATGAGTAGAGTGGGCCAGCCCTGAAGGAGTGTCCGCCTGATGAATGGTCCCTCTGGGGAAGTACAATAAATCACCTGGCTAAAGGAGAAAGAAAAGGTAGAGTTAACAAGAGCTATACTTCTCAGTCCTCTTTTTTTTTGTTTGTTTTGATACTGGGATTTAGCCCAGGGGCACTTAACCCCTGAGCCATATCCCCAGTGCTTTTCTGTATTTTATTTAGAGACAGGGTCTTGCAGAGTTGCTTAGGGTCTCACTAAATTGCTGAGGCTGGCTTTGAACTCGTGAGCTGCTGGGATTATAGGCGTGCACCATTGTGCCCAGATAGTCCTCTTTGTTTTAATGAGATAAATATAGGTATTGAGCTTCAGATCTCTACTCAAACCCACTGCTTCATGGGACAATCTCCATCCAGCTTCACTGTGTCCATGAGCCTGTCACTGTGAACCACAATCCACCAGAAACTTCCAGGCCTAGAGTCACTGTCTTTATACGCAAGCTGACACCAGATACACCTGAAACTACCCTGCCTGATTCTGGGATCCAGGAAGGTGTTCCTGGGGAGCATATTCTCTCCCTCCTGGTTAAGAGTGAAGCTTGTCATACTGATGCTGCCATTTATGGACTGCTGACCAGGGCAATTCATTTATCTTCCCTAAGCCTCAGTTTCTCTTTTACTAGAATGGGGTAACAGCCCCATACCCCATAGGATTAGGGACATGCAGTTTTCAAAGATCCCAGGGCAAAGATGGGTATGTGCTATGTGCTTATATTACATATCTTGGCTGCCACACTACCACCCTAATAATATTTGAGCTCATCCAGGAAGGGTCAATTACCCATTTTATATTCCCCAGAGCGCAACCTAGCAAAGCACCCAACACACAACGTATGTTCAAAAAATGTTAGATAAATGGATGAAAAACTATATTACTCTTATTTGAACCTACAAACTAGATATAACGAAAGATTATCTTCTTGGGCAGATAAGCCCAAGCCCTTTTACCCCTTTACTCTCTCCCAAATAAACAGATGAAAAAATTCTTCCCAAATTACTCCTGCCCTGAGCTACCTCCTCCCTAATCCCACTGAGACCAACATTCTGTAACTGCCTAAAGAGAGAAGGAATCTTGAGAGCCATTCATCTCCTCTCTGAAGAAAGGGAAGCAGTCTAGCTCAATAGTTAAGTAAAAGAGCCCTAGAGACAGAACTCAAGAAATACCACCTTTAAAAGAATTTTAAAGATTTCCCTCAAAGCAAAAGCAATATACATTTATTTATATTTTTGGCTGCTGATTTGCTTTAGATTTTACCAAACTGACAGTACTGCAGGTAAATAAATGCTTTACTGATACTTAAAAGAACCATTTACTGAGTGTCTCTCTGCTGGCTCCTGTGTAGGTGAGAGCCTCACATACACATTTCATTCATTGCACAAACATTTGATCAATGCTTTCCAGCCCTCACTGGAAAAGGCAAGGAAGATCTCCCTGAGAGTTTCCCTCCAGAAGGAATGTGATTCTGCCAACACAGTGGAGACCACTTTTGGACTCCGGCCTCCAGAACTATAATAAATTTTTTGTTACTAAAATAATCATTATGGGCTGGGGTTGTAGCTCAACAGTAGAGCGCTTGCCTAACACTTTCAAGGCCCTGGGTTCGATCCTCAGCACCACATAAAAATAAATAAAATAAAGGTATTGTATCCAACTACAACTAAAAAATACATATTTTTTAAAAAAATCATTAACACTAGTACATACTTTTATACCTCATCAAAGTAATTTCATTGTAAAGGGGGCATCAAAATAATATCCTTCAATTCTTATATCCTACAAGGTAAATATTATGATCTCTGTTTTAATGAAGAAGAACATACTTAAGTAATTTGTCCAAGTACAGGAGCTAAGTGATAACATCTGAATTCAAACTAGCTCTGTCAGATCCCCAAGCAGAGGGTTGTTATTTTTGCTATGGGGGCTGTCTTCACCCTAACACTCCTGGTTTGGCAGATATACTGCATTGACTAGCACTGCAATAGTGGGAAAACGGGTGACAAGGGCTTCAGCACTCCCATAGTATCTTCCACACACTTCTCCCAACCAGAGTGACTCAGCTTTTGTTTCATATACTGGGCAATTTCATTTGAATAGGTATACTGATTAAAATTTCACATGTATGTGCATATACACACTTGAAAAGCAGTGTACCTCACAATGCTGTTTTTCTCCTTCCAGGAGACTCAGAGCTTCTGTTAATAAACAGTGTTCATTGAATGTTTAATGGGCATCTGTTCCATCTCGTCCTCTAAGTCCCATGGCGACAGTACAGAGAATTCACACCCTCCACACTTGAAGACCACTATGAAACCTGACTTTCTTCAGCATGACAAATAGCCAGGCTGTCCACCTAAGCAACTCAGCCCTGGCCTCAAAGACCCCAGATGGCTTAGTCTCTAGCTTAAACACAATCAACCAAGAGTCTGGTAAATGTACAAGGGAGGCTCGGGCAAACTCTTTCTCTAAAGGGTCAAATATAGTATTTTTCGCTTGAGGCCATGTGTTCTCTATGGCAACTAGTAAACTATGTAATGCAAGCAGTCACAGACATACTTTAGGAATAGGTGTGGCTTTGTACCAATAAATTCTATTCATAACAACAGGCAGTAGGCCAGGTGTTTGACCCATGGACCATAGTTTAGTGACTGCTCACCAAAGGCATATAAAATCAAGGTTACCTTTATTGTTGTTTATTTACTTAACTACACTATAATTAGGCCCAATCCTAAAAAAGGAGATTGCTTTCCCCTAGTTCTTGGCAGATAAACAGGCAAAGATCTTAAAAATCCAGAAACAGATATAGGCATTGACAAGAATTCTATACTAATTACAACTTGAAGATGAAATAAGTACAAAAACAATAACTGTATGTAAGTAATTCCATTGCAATATATTCTATTACAAGCATCTCTGGAATAGCTTGAATTAACCATTGTTTAATTGCCACTAAAGGAAATTAAAGTAGCAATAAAGTAGAGTATAAAGTTTAATTATGGAGCTTTTTTAATACTTCAAGTTTTTTTCTCAACAACCTCTCCTGCTGGGGACTGGCTATGTTCCCATCCATGCTAACGGCTCAAAGACAGATTTTCTCAGCAAAAAGATGCCAATGCACATGATAAAGCCACCTGGCTCCCTGGAGGAAGAATCCTAAAGAGCTTTCATTAATTACTATTCTTCTAGTAACTATATGCAGGGAGAAAGAAGGAGTGCAGAAAATAGTCTGCTGCATAATCAGGAGGAATGTGGGTTATACTAGAGTTTTTGCAACCAAAAAATGAAGAAATTCCTGGCCAGGCTTTGCCTAAGCAACCTACAACCCATAACGCCTGCTGTCTTAGATGTAGAAAAACTGCCCAAGGCCAAATCTTTCACTTTTTTTCTGGAGAAGTTCATGGCACACTGAATTAACTTTATTTCTGTTGAACTGGATCATATATGGTTATAGATTATTTGAGAAATCAATGTAATACTTCCTTAGCTCACTTCTCCAAGTACAAATCCCCAAGACTCCTTCAGAACTTGCCTGTGCTGGCTAGTTGCAAGGAGAGCCATCCTACCTCAGAGTCCCAAGGATACATTCCCACAGGGACGGTTACACAAACTCTAAACCTCAAACCTGAACTTGTCTTAGCAACAGAGACAGGCCAGCTCAAAGAGGTGCCCATATGGTCACTCCATACCTTTAATGTGAACTCATGTGTTGGAGTGCCAATCCTGGCCTCAGCCTCCACGCTGTACTCACGTGCCAGGGCCACTGTGGGTTTGTAAAGGCGCCAGTGCTTCTCTCCCTCCAGCTGCAGGATGAAAACCTATAAAAAGCCACAGACCTGGGAGGTCAGAGAGTTTCCTGACAATTCACGTGCAAAATCTTTCAGAATATTAGTTCTTTGAGGGGGTTTAGACAAATCCTAAGTTTCAGATAAAAATTAAAAATGAGAGAATCTGAAATGCATGTCACTCCGTGCAATAAAAGTGGCTACTACTGGTTTTATTTTTTTAAAACAGGTAACCATGAATCCTGATACTGAACAGATACTCATTTTTTTTTCACATTGTTAGAGCATTGCCAAGTTCTTTATATTAACAGTCTCACTCTTGAAATCATCTTACAGACCTCTGAAAGCCCATAATCTCAGTTGGAAAAGGCAAGTTTCAGCTAAATGGAATGCCTAAAGTCTTAAAATATTGAAAAGGGGCTTGGTAAACAGGAAAACTTTTTTAAGTTTTTATTTTTTTATTCAGCCAAAGATACTTTAATGGTCTATTAAGAATAGAAATAAAAACTCTTTTGGAAAATGTACTACTATCAACTTGGTCTCAGAAGGGGGAAAAAAAAGAACTTTTTACTAATATCTCTGTGATCACATACCTCATATTTTTACAAAAATAAAAAGTCAGTTAACTTTTTTGGAAACCATATGACAATGAAATCAACATTTGTTAAAGTGCCAGTGCTTAAATTAAATCATGACCTTCATTCAAGCTGTCCCAAGTTTTCTATGAATGGAAAAAATATATATATTTTTGGCAGTTATTGGAAAAAAAAAAGAAAATGAGAGCAGAAGCCAGGATTATGTGTGATCTCATTATATCAAAGACCATACCTTGTGAAATTAAAGGAAAAGCTAATGACTTTTCTATAGAGTTCAGTAAATTCCTGTTTCAAAAGAATGAATGTGATGTTCTTTTATTAGTAAGTTTGGAAACAATCTCTCCCTTTGAAAAGGAGCAGGAAATCAATTTGGAGAGATTTGTTTTGGCCCAACATTTAGATGAGTTCAAGATCTCCAGAGAGTGCACATAAAGAACAGCCACAGACTTGGTCTTGGAGCTTTAGAGTGTAACATGAAAAGAACCCCAAGGACTCCCAGAGCAACTTCATAACCATGCTCTCAATAACTCATTGTTCTCCACACTGGGCAATATGCTTCTTCTCTCACCTCAACATCATCATAGTGGGGAGGTAGGCCCTGAGATCCTCCAGGGGTTATATACACATTGGAGCCAACCAAAGAGCCAAAGTAACATTCCAGCTTCTCCTGCATCCGCCAAAGCTCATCCTTTAAAGAAAAGGGGGGAGGGATAAAAATAAATTAGAAATAAAACAAATGTTTTTGTTTACTTAGGAAGCCTTCCTTTCACAATTATCATAGATCAGACAATTAACCAGTAAAGGGCCCTCAAGAATCTTCCCTTCTAGCATAGACACTACTGCAAAGAAGTAAACAAATGATAGATTGGCAAGGCAGCAATGGGGAGTCATGGAGTCATGAAGGATTTTGACATGAACATGACATGAACCAATTAACGTTTTTAAAAGCTCGCTCTGGCTCCTGGGTGGAAATCAGATTGTACAAATGTAAGACACCAGTCTAGAAGCCACTGAGATAGCAGTCTAGGTAAAATATGAGCAGGATGGTGGAAGAGGGATATCAGAATTTGAAAAGCCCAGGGGTACTCTGGAAGTAGAACTGATAGGACATGCTGATGGATAAAGGGGCATGGAAATGAAAGGAATTATAAAAAAAAAAAAAAAGACACCTGGGTTTCTGACTTGGGAAATTAGCTCCCAGTTCCATTGACTGAGACAAGAAAGGTTTGCTAAAAAATAAGTTTTCAAGAGGCGGGGGAGGCGGGGAACCATGAGCGTCACACAAGAAAGTTTAAATTTGGGATGCTAAGACCACTCCCCTCCCCACAATGTGGAAATGTTTTTAAGTAAGTTTGAAGTTTTAGCAGGAAGTATGGGCTAGAGATTTACATTTGGGAGCCACCTACACAAAATGGGTAATTAAAGCAATGGAAGCAGAAATGAAACCTAGGAAAAAGCTTATAGACAAATGAGTTAAGAACAAGGGTGAGCAATGTTCTCTCTCTAGTCACTAATCAATTGTTAGGTATAAGGCCCACTGAAGTGCCTAGACAGGAACTATATTTGTGTGTGTGTGTGTGTGTGTGTGTGTGTGTATGTGAGAGAGAGAGAGAGAGAGAGAGAATGTGTTAGTTTTTCCCCAAGACAGGGCACAGCCTCAAAGTGCTTTTTTATTCATTTTACAGCCCTCACAACAACCCTGTCTCATAAGGTGGTTACTACCATTATCTCCAGTTTACAAATGAGAAAACTGAGGCACCAGAACACACAATTATTAAATGATGGAGTTAGGATTCAAATTTGGGCAAATCATTTCCTAAGTCCATGCCTTTAAGATAACTGAAGAAAAGGTGACTCACTTACACTAAAGAGACCAAAAGGCTTTTTTTTTTTTTTTTTGCTTTGTTTTATTTTGTTTTGAGTTGTAGATGGTCACAATGCCTTAATTTTATTTACGTATTTTTATGTGCTGCTGAGGATCAAACCTCACACGTGCTAGGCAAATATGCTACCGCTGAGCTACAACCCCAGCTGTCAAGAGAGAGACCAAAGTTTTAAGCATATGAATGTTCAGTGCCTGGCTCATAGAAGACATTACGACATTTTCAAATATTTGCTGAGCAAATCAATTATAACTTGAGAGTCAATTCTACCACTGGACTAAAAGAGATCTACAGTATTAAAATTACAAAGTGGGATAAAATGGGTCAGCATAAAAATCAAAAGCTTTGGAAGATATCTTTATATGGACCACTGGGCTTCTTTCTTTTAGATCTCGAAGGTTCTCCTTGACACAGAAAAAATAATTTAATGGACTCTGAATACCTCAGAAAATTTCAGAGCTCCCAAAGAACCTAATTTACTTCAGGAGAGAGACCAACAGGACCTGGCTTTGTAATTATGTTTGTACAGTAAGTGGAACCACTAAGAAACCAGAGCTTTTCTTTTTCTCCCGATGTCCTTAGAGGTCTTTCAGGACAAAATGGTTGACTTTGTTTCCCAGCCCAAGCAACATTCAAGATCATTCAAGGTGTGCAATTGATGTAAACATGTCTCTTCTTCTTAAAGGTTACTGCAAATGCTATCAGTTGTACAGTTTTTTCTGTTTTTCTTAGACCTTTATCTTCTGAATCTGCCAACTGTGATCTACTGAAAAGAGATGAGTCTAACTGTAGTTACAAGCTAGGCAACAGATTTCTTTTTTTTTTTTTAAGAGAGAGAGAGAGGAGAGAGAATTTTTTAATATTTATTTTTCAGTTTTCGGTGGACACAAAATCTTTATTTTATTTTATGTGGTGCTGAGGATCAAACCCAGCGCCCCGCACATGCCAGGCGAGCATGTTACCGCTTGAGCCACATCCCCAGCCCCGACAGATTTCTTTATAAAGCAAAGCTACTAACACCCCACCCCAACACTGGGGAGGAGCAAAACTTAACTTATCTCAAAACCTATTTAAACTGCAAAGCAGTATATAAGTATTACACTACAACACTGACTGGAGTACAAGGAAGGCCCCTGTCTCCTGTTACCACAAACTCCTACTGTGCACAAAGAGGCTGAGAACCAGAAAAATGAAAGAAAAGGGTGGTGAAGATTTCTCTCCTGGTTGGGTACAACCTCCTCCACTGACCTTTCTCCAATTCCCAAATGTCAGTCTCCACAGAAACAAAACAGAATGCCATGGCTAAGACCAAAATTCTACTCATACCTAAAGAAAGGCTTAATATTCATAAGTTCTGCTACTTTCAATAATCATCTTTCAAAGTTTGATAGGAAAATGACTTAAATGTGGAGTCAAAAACACCAGACCAGTTTAGAATAGCTATGGGAAAGTATGCAGAATATCTAGATTAATAAGACTTAGTATGAGACTCAATAAACAATGGGCTAACTGTTCAGGCTAACACCCTCTTGACCTGACCAGTGTAAACCACCTCTGAACTTTCTTATTCTGATGTCACAGACTCATTCCTAAACACACACACACACACACACACACACACACACACACACACTCACCACTAATCCTCCCCAGAACACAGAATTTTGAACTCAGCTTCTATGTAAGAAGGTGAGTTCCTATAGCTTATAGGTCTCTCAGGTGCTGGTGGTGGAAAGAGGAAAAAAAAAAATCCTAGTCTAACATGAGGGCTGAATTTTGGCTGAGGAAGGTCATCCTTTCTATTATTAAACCCAACCAAAGAGAAGAGTAAATAGTGCAAAGGAAACAGTTTCTTGGCCACTTGGAATCCTAGAAGGGTGTGCAAGGCTTAAACAGACAAACAGAGAAAAGCCTTGGGGGAGATGGTTCTGAAATACAGAAATGGCAGCCACAGAGGATACCACACACGGGCCAAATAATAAATTTCTGGTTTTTGACCAAATTATGTGTAATAAATTTCATTGATTTATATTCTTAGTTCTCAGGTTTCTAAAAATTACTCAATAAATGCTACTTCTGGGCTGGGGTTGTGGCTCAGTGGTAGAGCACTTGTCTAGCATGTGTGAGGCACTGGGTGTGAGCCTCAGCACTACACGAAAATAAATAAATAAAGATATTGTATCCATCTACAGCTAAAAATATATGTTTAAAAATGCTACTTTTAGGGGCTGAGGCTGTGGCTTAGTGGTAGAGCACTTGCTTGGCACACGTGAGGCACTGGGTTTGATCCTCAGCACCACATAAAAATCAAATAAAGGTATTGTATCCACCTAAAACTAAAAAAAAATATATTTTTAAAAAATGCTACTTCTAGTCTGGTAAAGAGTCAACTAGCTTAAAGAGAAGCATTTTATATATGGTCCATATTTTCTAAATTCAAATCATGAGTTGGTTTTGGAAATCATTTATAAATTCCTTCTGGGGGGTTAGTGCCAAAAGGCTGGCATTACAGGGACATTTCAACATTTTAAGATTGCCTGAGATGTAATAATTGGAATCAGGACTTGTCCTGAAAACACCTGAGTACTTATATTTCATCTAGAGTATAAATAGGTTCAAGACCTTTAGACAAGAAAAGGAATGGCACTAACCAGTTGAAGCCTAATGGGATCTAACAAACCAACTTCTGAGTTAAATTGTAAGAAATATTATTGGTAACTGATGGCAGAGTCTCAGAAACCACCAATACAGGCAGAATCCTACTCTCCTCAATATGGAATCTCCTCAAACTCCACTTTCTTCTACCATGCTGCCATTTTGATTCTATCATTGGTTACAACAATGAGAATAACAGTATCTAAAACTCAGATGAGACCCTCAACAATTTGGAGCTGACACATAAAGATCTCTAAAAAAGCAGATTACCTCATCCTAAATCTGCATTTAATGAGTACTGAGGTGGCAAATTATTTCCCAAATGTCAGTCACTGATTACAGGATAATTTTAATCAAAGTTATCCTGCACTTATGACTGCCTCCCCAGGAAAAGTTTCAGGAGCCCAACCTTTAATGTCACCAGTTCAACTGTCAATAGGAAGAGAGGTCACTTTCTTAGACATACATCTGGTATGTGATCTGGTCCCGGCTCTGAAGCCTCTTCTTAGAAAGATGTAGGCAGTAAAGGGAGGCAATTTCAAAAAATATATATCACCTTGATGCTATCATGCCTTAAATTATAGTAATAGGACAAACCAAACAGAAATCTCTACAATATACAAAATCATAAATCAGTCCATAGAACATGATCCTGAAGGTGTAATACTACTTTAATAACTTTATAAACTATCAATGTAATTTAGTTTTTGCAGCTCAAAGATACTCAACAATGTCCACCCTTAGTTACTGGAGTTCCTAATAACAGAGCCAAAAGATAATACAGACTCTCAGACTCTTTAAAGACCAACTAGGTGCTATGCCTTCCAAAAATGGCAGGAGGCTCACCATATTCACTTGTGAGCTGATGTTGGTCAAGTGTTAGCATTTGGGGCAAGTATGAAGACCTGTAATAGGGAAACTTGTTACCTTAAATCTCTGAGGTTGGTGAAATTGAATTGTTGCCCTTTTCTGATCAAAATCTTTTCTCAGCTGAAGGAAGTGTGCTTTTCCATCTTTATTTAAAACCTTCTTCTTCCCATTGACACACCGACAGACATTCACATCTCTTCCATAGTATATACCCTGGCTGCACAGACTCTTCAAATCTGTCAGCCTGAATAGGGACTGGTAGTATGCTGCCACTGCAGGGTCATCCCTCTGAATGAGAAGTGGCTTCTGCTCCCAGAATTCCTTGAAAAATGTCTCTATGTTGGTGGGTGAAATCAGACTTTCAAAGAGACCACTGGGGCTCTCAAAGTTTAAGGTGGAAGGTCCACCAGCTGTCTCCACTTTCACCTGCTTACAGGGAACAGGACTCTCTTCCTTCCCATTCCCTGCAGGCTTCACTTTCTTTGGCATTGTCTGTCTTCAAGCAAGAAGGGAATGCAAACCTATCCAAAGAACAAAAACATACATGGTTAGATCTACTGGAAGTGCTATTGCTGGTGTTAGTGGCCTGTACACACAAACCATGGCTGAACACTGTCTTTATGAGAACTATTCCTAAGTCAACACTGCTTCCTCTAGAAATGAGACAGGCTTAAGTCAATTCCATTTCTTCCAAGATATGATTCAGCTTCCCACACTACTTAGATTACACATTCATTTAAAGGAAAACATGTTTTTGTGTATTAACTCAAGTCCTGGAATTCATTATTTATTAGGAGGTATAATTATCCCAAATTAAACCATTCAACTGTCTCAGCAATTCTTAGTCATAGGTTTAGCCTGTGGCCACTGATACAGCAAAGCCAAAATTTTTTAATTCAGCTTCTATCAGCACAAGGCCCTGAATCTAATTAGATGAACTCTGAGTTACAAACATTTGATGGCAAACAATCAATAGCTGTCCACTGCCAGGTGCTTTCAGCACAGTACATGCTCAATTGTTGTTCAGGTGGAAATCACGATGGCCTGGACCAGTGGTGTCACCTGGTGGCTGAAGTGAGATGCTGCTTGCTCCCAAGACTCCACCAACCTCCCGAAACTCTTCACTCCCAAACTTGAGCCTTTCTTGAAAACTCCCACTTTATCATCCCCCCCACCCCATTAAAACAAAACAAAACACAACACAACAACAACAACAAAAAAAACAACAAAGGGCTGAAAAGTGAAGGCCAAAAATAATTACATGCCAAGTTTTTTAAAACACTAACTTTTAAACAAACAATAAAACATCATAACTGAAATACCAAAATCATTAACTTCTAACACAGCACTCTCCGATTTCAATGTGCACAGATCATCAGGGCATCTTACTAAGATGTCAGGTGGAATTTTCCACTTGTGGCATCATTCTGGCACTCAAAACATTTTGGATTTTGGAGCACTTCAGACTTTGGGATTAGTGACACTCAACCTGTACTCACCCTACCCCAAGAAAGGGGTTGTTTTTCACCAGATTCTTAGAAGTCCTTTCTGTTTGGGGAGGAAAACAAACAAACAAACAAAAAGTTAAGAAGCACTTGTGTTTATAAATGCCAATTTTTCCCCAAGAACAGTAATTTATAAGTGTTATGGTTTCCTATTTTGTTGAATTATCAGAATTACAAGAATGTTGTTTTCTCTTCTCTTCACTGTAACTAAGTATTTCAGCTACACAACAGACTAAGTAGAATTAGTATTCTGGCCTGAGAAGTAAACACTCTAGAATAATTTGTTATGTACTGCAACTAATTTACCAAAGAATTTTTAAAATGCAACCCATATGTAAACTGAACAAATGAGGATATGGGAAAGTCAAAATACAAAAGTCTATAATGGCCTCATTTTAGCGCCTAAATTTCAAACCAATGAACAGCTCAGTTCTTTCAAAAGACATTCACGATCATGGTGGAAAACTAATACAAATTGATACTAAAAACCTACAGTAGAGGGGTAAGAGCTTAATTAAGCTTGGAAAAAATAAACTAGTATTTTAGGATATATGGCCAATGAGATATATTTTCTGAAAATGTTTCCTATACCTTTTAAATCAAATGGACAAACCAAAGAATCAAGGCTTTACTGAGAAAAAGCATTGGCAGTACTTGGAATTCTAAAGTGATGTACAGGAGATATGAAAAGAGAGTCAATAAAGACTATTTGTACAAAATAGAGTCACCGTAGCTTGACTGACTGCAACCCTTTGAGAGGTTAGCTTGTGGATGATATCTCAGAACTTAAGATTTAGGGAGGTTCCCAACACCATTAATTAATGAGTGGCTCACGATGCCTGAAGTGTAAAACAATACAGTTTATAATAACTGAATACCTACTTGCCTTCTCTGGGTCTAGACATTTGGTATGTGCCAGGAAGACAGATCCTATGTGACTAGTCCCAGTAACAACCCTGAGCACTGAGTCTCTAATGAGCTTCCCTGGATGGCAACATCTCACACCTGGTGACAAAATTAGGGCCCAGAGCAATTAAGCACTCCACAAAAAGAAACTTGGAATCTTGTACCTGGTCACCACAGGACTTTATTTCCATATGCCTTTTCCCCTTTACTAATGTGCTTAGTATGTTTTTGCTGTAATGAATCAGCATGTTCTCGCAAAAAAATCACAGAACCTACAAATGGTCTTTGGGATCCCAATATATTGCTCAAATCTAAATTTTAAAACTAAATGTTAGAGTGGTTTATTAGGTTTGTTTCACTAAAGGTACCCTACAATTTTATATTCAGTCACATATTTCTTATTACTCAGAATTAGTCTCTTTGATATTTAAAGGAATAAGCAGGAAGATGCTAGTGAAAGGCTTGTTTTCCTTAAACATAAAATATGAATACAGTATAAGCACACCTATCAGAAAGTGTGGCTAAATAAAATGCACAAAATACTTAAACCAAAATAAAATCACGTAATTTTCTCCACTTACAAGCATAAAATTAAATTGTAATACTGTAAAATATATGCTTTTGATAGAATATAAATTTCACTATTTATATTGCCAAAAGTTACAACATTTATTATTTCTCTGTGTACATGCTGAAATGATTGGAGGCTTAGTTACTTGGAACCTAGCTCAGATGTTACTAGGCAAATGTATTATTCGATGCTCACACTACTCATGCTGTAAGACAACCATTCCTTTTAACAGCTTTCAGAAGGTGGAAGGGAGAATAGATGACACACCCTATTCCATTAAACACAAAAAAGTCCTAAGATGCATCCAATTTCAGTCGAGGTAAAAAGTAAAAAAAAAAAAAAAAAGGTGGGGGGAGGCTGGGGTTGTAGCTCAGTGACAAGAGTGCTTGCCTCACATGTGGAAGGCACTGGGTTTGATCCTCAGCTCCACATTAAAAAAAATAAATAAATAAAGGTATTCTGTCCATCTACAACTAAAAAAGATATTTTTTATAAAAGCAAAAAAAAAACTTCAAATCCAAGAAATATAGACAAAAGAATGCTTTGTCTACAAAAGTTCAGCCATTACAATTTTGCCTATAACCTCACAGACTACCCAGAAAGAAGTTATAATATTACAGGAAAAAGAAAAGTTTTTGAAAAATAAGTGTTTTCAATGAGTTGACTATAAGCATTAAAAGATTAAGTAAAAAGATTCACAGTGGAAAATGGATGGCATTAGAGCAGATTATGCTAAGTGAAGCTAGCCAATCCCTAAAAAACAAATGCCAAATGTCTTCTTTGATATAAGGAGAGAAACTAAGAACAGAGTAGGAAGGAAGAGCATGAGAAGAAGATTAACATTAAACAGGGACGAGAGGTGGGAGGGAAAGGGAGAGAGAAGGGTAACTGCATGGAAATGGAAGGAGACCCTCATTGTTATACAAAATTACATACAAGAGGAAGTGAGGGGAAAGGGGGAAAAAGGGGGGAGAAATGAATTACAGTAGATGGGGTAGAGAGAGAAGATGGGAGGGGAGGGGATGGGGGATAGTAGAGGATAGGAAAGGCAGCAGAATACTACACTAGTATGGCAATATGTAAAACAGTGGATGTGTAACCGATGTGATTCTGCAATCTTGTATACGGGGTAAAAATGGGAGTTCATAACCCACTTGAATCAAATGTGTGAAATATGATATGTCAAGAACTATGTAATGTTTTGAACAACCAATAATAAAAATTAAAATAAAATAAAATAAAAAGGGCAAAAAAAAAGATTCACATTTCATACTTTAAGTGCCCTGCAGATAAACTGTACAAGAAAATCAATATTGATGCTCATACTATAGCCAAAAAAGATATTTATATTTTGAAAGTGTCCTTCCTTTTCCAAAGTAATATGAAGGACAAGAAGTCATAACAGCTTCTTGAAGGGACAGCTATCTGTACATTCTGGAACCCAGCAGAGCATATAGCACATAGGAGATTCTCAAGAAATGCTTGCTAAATTAACTTTCACTTTTTCATCTTTAATCTATATACCGTTTTAGAGAAAAAAATCTGCAAGGCCTTACAAAAACCAGAGTTGGAGAAAACAGAGACCTCCTGCACTATGACTGCTACTTTGAAGGCAGCTGTGGCTTTGGTATTCAACAGTATTCCAAGGGCTAACTGGCAAATAGATACCAGTAATTATCAACCCAAGGAGGGTAGTGTGACTGGGTTTAACCTGGGCACAGCTAGTAGTCCGTGGGCATCATCAGTTTTGTTAACATGCAAATTTCTGGACCTGCAACAAACCTACTGGATGGCCATTTCTGATGACCAGGGCCCAGAAATCTACATCAACATTATTAAATTCTCCAGGCAAATTATAGATCCAGTAATATAGAAGACAATAGTTGAACTCAGCTCAATAAAACACGCACGCCTGATAAAAATAATATATTGCCTGTAACAAGGTCGCCCAAGCTAACCTAAATGATTTCTTTTCCGCATAAAGAATTATCATTAATGCAAAGAAGTTCTCCTATTGATCTTGAGCTGTGACTGGCATTTATGTTTTTAGTTTTATTTTAGAAGGAAAATGAATTGCACCTCATTAATGTATTTTGGTGACCATGAGGTCACAAAGGAAGAGAAGGGAGTCAGACCCATCCACTTGATGGTGTAAGAGCTGAGTAGATCAGGCTCTTCCACTTAAAAGATGAGACCACTGAAAGAAACTCCTGATGATGACACACAACTAATTAGTGGTGAAATTAGAGCCTCCAGACTCCCAGGCCTGCACTTCCTAGAAACACAGTGAGAAACTTGGTCTTTTTAACCTGTTGGACAACCCAAGCATTCATTGACAAATGAATGAACTGGAAGCAAAGGCTGCTAAAGTCAGGAGTGGGGTGAGGGACAGCCTCAGCTCCCGTCTCCGCATGCACGAGCTTTCCTCAGCGTGGCTCTTAGGCCCGACCTGTCGCCCAGGCCCTGGCAACCCACGTGGCTGCCGCGCTCCTACCCTCCCTGCCAAGCCTACAAACTTTCCGCGTTCGTCCAGGGTCTCCGGCCCCGGGACAGAGCACGTGAGCTTGTTCAAGTGTTAGAGACATTCTGCACCCCAGAGCTCCGGGCCCCGCTGGTCCCGGCGTGTCCACAGGGCCCGGAGCTCCGGGGGCCCAGAGCGGTTCAGACGCGTCCCCGGCCCCGCTGCCACCAGCGCCACAGAGCTCTCGGGCCCAACCCCGAGGTCCTACAGACCCAGCCAGGAGCAGGGGAGCGAGCTCCTGGAGGAACCCGCCCTCCCGCCGTCATCGCCCCACTCACCCGGCACGGCCTGTTGCGCGCGGCCGCGAGCTGGCTGGGCGGGGCGGCGTGGGCACGTCTGGGGCGGTGAGCTCCTGCTCCCGCGCCCGCCTCCTGGGCGAGCCCGGCTGCTGGCTGAGGGTGCTCCTGAGGAAGCCGGCAAAGCAGCAATGGGAAAATCAGTGTGTGAATGTCCTTTTTATGATTGATACACATAAATCACAAAGTTGAGGGGAGAGAGGCCAATGCATGAATTTAGCTAATGCTAATGCTGAGTTTGCATCAGATTTACTGTGATCCTCCTATTGGCCTCTGAGCATCTGCGCACCAATTTCCACAGGATATTGGGAGAAAAATCAGTCCTACTGGAATCATTCATCTATAAACATCAAAGGACTTTTAAAATAACTATTTGTATTTTTGTTTCAAAACTTTATAGTACTACTATATTGTAAAACTGTGGGAAGCACACACATTGTTTTAAATGGTGTGAATGCCATCTGTTGTATATCTATATTCACTTTGGTCCATAAAAGACCTAGGCAGTGGTTTTTTTTTTCTTTAAATATGACTCTAATATTTAAACCATTACAAGCCTAACTTCTAATATAAGAAAACTGAGGCATAATGAGATTGTGTAACTTGCTCAAAATTATACAACCATTGAATAGCATAACTGGGACTTAAACACCCTCCCCTTCCCCATCATTTTTGTTTGGGTTGCTAATTTTGTTTGAGTAGCTTATTTCTCATGGTTCTGAGGGATATGGATTCCAAGGTTCAAGGCACTGGCTAATTCTGGAATTTGGTGTATCTGAATCCTGTTTCACAGATGAGGCCTCCTAGGTACATCCTCACGTGATAGAAGGGGCAAAGTAACTCTTTGGGTCCTTTTAACCTAAATCAGGAGGGCTCCACCCTCATGACATAATCTTTTCCCAAAATGCCCCTCCTACTTACATTGTTCATTCAGTTTGAACATGTGAATAGATTTTGGGGGGCAAACATTCAGACCATAACACTCATGCTGCTACCAGTATTCTCTTCTGACCTCTGTTTTTCATCTGTAAAAGTGATTAATTTTGTCCTTATAAAGCTGCAGTTAGTGTCAGGTGTGAGAGAGTAAGCAAGAGTCTTAAACTGTAAAATGAATTCACTTGAAAGGCGTTTGTTACAGCCCATTCAGCATCTTGAACATGGTTCTATAGAATGAATTAAGTGTAATTGAGTCTGTGACACATGTTTGCTTCACTTCATTTACAAAATTCATCAAGCAAGGCAGCTTCAAATGAATGTAGTCGACCATGAGATAATCTTGGGGTTTTAGTAACTTCAGAAAAGCCACTTTTAAGAATGATCTAGTCAAGATCTTCCAAGATTATACTTGTGATACATGTGGGACTCAATATATTTGATTTGATTAAAGCATACTATCACTGTTTGGAGTACCCAGTGTTTACAAAAGTGAATTGAATTAATATTGTCATTTTCTTGCTTACAGTCTTAATTTCTTGTAGAGCCTGTGCCTATGGAAAAGTCAATGAATGTTAGGTTGCGTGACATTTCTTTATTAAGTGATACTTCAGATCTTCTTTCTCAAACAACCCAGAACTAGTGAGTGAAAGTATGCATTAGGATTTCCAATGACTATTCCTTACAGAGATGTTTTGTAACTTAACATGTCACAAAAACAAAACAAAACAAAACACGCTGAAACAGATGTGTTCATGACTGTTATAAGAATAAGATATATTTGGGGGTTGCTTTCTTGAAGAGTAAACAAGCTCCTATTGAAAAATGTTTCTTAGGAGACTAGCAAAATGTGTAGATGGATGAGAGAAACAAACATCATGATTGTAAGCAAAATAACCAACACAATTTCAGCACCATTATGGAAGCACAATAACCAGGATGGAAGCAGACCTCAAATGGATCAGCAAGCTTTCCTTTATTCTGCAGTGGAGTCAATCCATCAGGTACTGGAGGGGCTCATTTTCTGGGTAGAAAAATGGCCACCGGTTACAGGATTTTGAGTTTTATAGTTTACAATGTGGGTGGCTTAATTATTAGAGACTGAAGCAGGACGTATTAGTTTGGACAGTCGGGAAAGAAATTGTAAAAAGCCCTAAACTCATTATCACTGGGAAAAGCACAGAACTCAGTGTTCACTGCTCATCCTCTTTCTCCAGAATGCATTGTTTCCCAGACCTTCACTATTTGCTTTTTTCCTCATTGGCAAGGTGAAAGGGTAAAAGTCCAGGGCCCAGAATTTCAGTATTTGCCTTCTCCCTTCAGGTTCCATAGTTGTTTTTGGGAAGGAATGAAAGTTTGCCGTTTTTTCCCCTTGGGCCCATTAATCCTAGGAGAGGATTAATGATTGCCTTCCGTTTTCCTCTTCCTCCAGGTCATTTTTGGGGTGGGAGGTGTCATTTCCCTTTCTGGAGATTGTCATTTTCCATACCCTTCAATAATGATAGATTAGTTGACTTATTTTCCTTTAGAATTTTATCTTAATGAACCAAAAATGACCAACTAATCAATCTCCAAATCGATAACACTTATGAACTGATAGATCTATCAATAATTTCATTTCAAGTTTTAAAGAAGTGAAAAATATACCTTAATTATGGCTTCTGAATATAGAAGAAAAACAACCCTGAAAAAAATTGTATGATCACATTATCCATGAAAAATTGATGCATAAACTAGAATGAGATAACTTGTTGAAGAGTATGCCAATTGAGATGTTTGCTTGAAAATGTCTGTTGAAGCCTCAAAACTGAAGACAGTAATATTTAATATTAAAATATAATAAATTATTTCACAGGACCTTTAAAAACATCTTGTATTCCAAGATTAATCCACACAAAAGCCTGTGTGGAGGATTTATAAGTATATTTTTGTGCATTTGAGGAAATGGAGACACCAAGACACTCACTAGTCAACCAAAAGTCACAGTCATGGGGGTAGAACAACAAACTTAATCCAGGCAGCCTGGCTTTGAAGCAGGGTTTTTGTCTTTTGGTTTCCCTACCCCCCTCAATGCTGGGGCTCAAATTGAAAGCCTTGTGCACTTGCATGCTAGGTGAGTACTCCTCTGCTAAGCACACATCTTGAGCCCTTGAGAGATTACCCTCACAAACTGCATTCAGAGGAGAAAGGCAGAAAGCAGCAGGCTGCTCTAACACGGATATTATCGAAGATCCTTGAGTGTGGAAAATAGTTGGGCTTGGACCATTAGGAAATTACCTGACCAAAGAGAATGGTATAGCAGGTGAAGAAAGCCAAGCTTTAGGAGGCCATGGCCTGGACAGGAAAGGAGAAATGGGGTCACACAAGATCAATCAGAGATTCCAAGGTTAATTTTAATGAACCCATGTAGACCTCCAAAAGAATTTTCACCTGCATCAGGGTCATCAGGGCAAACAAAATTTGTGGGATCCTGTGCAAAGTGATAATATTTGCATTTTTTATACTAAATATAACCTATTCTTTTGTGGTGGTGTTTTTTATTGCTATTAAATGTCATACTCTATTCCTCATGTTCTAAAGGTGAGTGCAGACATCCACAGGCCCCCAGGGCCTTGCAGTGCCCCTTGGTTCATAGTGCTCCTGAACTATTGACCCGGTAGGCTATGGAAATGTCCTGCTGCCGACCACTGACACTATACTGCTGTGTACTTTCCAGGGATGGGAAAATCAGTCTTCTTGACCAACTAGCCACATGCCAACCCACAGCAAATTCTTCAAGAGATGGCAACCTCCTAGTCAGGGTACACAAATTACCTGAGTATAGGGTAGGAAAGAGTTTGCTCCAGTAGGTCTCTCTCCCAAAACACTTTGGTGCTGCCAGCCCAGGAGAGAGTTGGCCACTACTATGACCAGCCCCAGGAGTGCACAATATGTGTACAATCTTAACCCTCCCTACATCTATGCCCTGGTCCCACCAGACACAGAGGGCAGCATTGGCATTGAGTAAATGTATGATAGGGGCAGGCAATGAAGCAAAAACTGGAACAATCCTATAATGGAACTGCAGGTAGAACTGCATGTGCCATGCCCTGTACATACTCCCTGTTCATTCACTTACAAAAAGAATTTAAAGATTAAGAATTTCAGGATGGTGGCTGCAGAGCATTAAACCCCAAAAGTTGGATCCTATGTCACCACACTTGTTGTTGCATGCTGGTGAAATTTTCCCTGTCTGCCACTCAAAGGGCATCAGCAAACTGGGAGCTAAAATACTGAAGAAAAAAAAAAACTTTGCCTTTTTTTTTTTCTCTAATCTGCTTCATACATTGAGAAGGAGGAAGGAGAAGTATGTATCAAGTGCAGATTCTACGTTGTCCCAATGACAATTCCTCAGTCCAAAGTTGAGACCTGAACTTAAGGGAAAATAAATTTGAATCAGACTAGGCTTTATACCTGAAAACAAATCCCTCTTATCAAAGTATTTTGTATGTAAGGATTATAGTGTTTCAAATCTGAAATGCACCCCAAAGTTCATATCTTAAAGCTTGGTTGCTGGCCTATTGGCTATTAAATGGTGGTGCAACTTTTAGGCTGTGGGACCTAGTTGGAGGAAGTAGGTCACTAGGGGCAGACCTTTGTTTGTGCCTCCTCATCTCTTCCTTTCCCTTCCTCTCTCCACCTCTACCTCTTCTTCTCCTTCTTCTTCCTTCCTGGCTACCAGGGGGTGAGCACTTTTCCTGTACTGGGCTGTCACACCTTGGTGGTCCGCCTCATCAAGACCCAGGAAAAACAGAACTAAATGACCATGGACTGAAACCTGTGAAATTGTGATCCAAAATAAACTCTTCCTTCTTTTAATCTTATACATGTTTGATATTTTGTTGAGGTGATGGAAAGCTAACATGTATTTATGTATTTATAAATGTGTATTTATACGTGTGATTGCATTTATGTATGTGATTGTTTAAGCGATCAATATTCAATAACAAAAGAAATGGGATCTGCCTAAGATGTCAGCAAGAAGCTGAGGACAAAGAGCCAACAGAGCACATTTGACAGTGATTAGTGAAAAATAAAGCCATTTTCTGAGTATACC